AGAGTATCATTTCTTTGTTTAACGGTTGTACATGAGAAGACACATGAATATGGATACAACTCAAACAAAGAATCTTATTCTCAAGACCATGTGCCATTTCCTAGAGTATCATTTCTTTGTTTAATGTTTGCACATGAGAAGACATATGAATATGGATACAACTCAAACAAAGAACCTCATTCTCAAGACCATGTGTCATTCCCTAGAGTATCATTTCTTTGTTTAACCGTTGTACATGAGAAGACACATGAATATGAATACAACTCAAACAAAGAATCTTATTCTCAAGACCATGTGCCATTTCCTAGAGTATCATTTTTTTGTTTAACAACTGCATATACATACAGTGTACATACAATCATGTATAAACTTTATTTATTCTTAAATCAACAGGGTAGCTCAATACCTTTGAGATAAATGAGACAACAATTGAATATGGAATTGATACAACTTAAAGAATCTTATTCTCATGAGAATGACATATGACCAGAAATGGGAAAGCATAACTGATTAAGAAATAAATAATACTCAAGGGAATGACATGCAGTCAGAGATGGGAAAACATTACACTCCATTATTCCTTGAATGCTCCAAGGTTGATAGCATTTTTTTTACGGTTACTGAAAATAGATATCGCAAATCCTTATAGAATCGAAACGCTGACAAACATTGCAAATAAAGGCTCCGATTACATGGAAAAGAATATTAGTCAGTCAAAAAACCATAGTTCTTCCATGAGATGGAAACAACAAGACTATTAAACATCATTGCAGCACATTAGCATGTGCGCTGGGCTTTGCTTGTCCGCATTTCAATCCCATGATGCACAATAATAATAATAATAACAATAATTTATAATAATAAGGATTTATTGAAGCATATCGATCTACAGAGTAGCTCTCCATCTTCAATACTAAGAAAATAATAATTTAAAGTGTATATGACACGAAAACATTTCATCGTTTAAAGTGTATAGTTTGTTAGTAGTAATAAATATATTGTAATGAAATTTGTTTCAAAAGCTTAATTTCTTGAGATATGTGAGAAAATTAATATCAATTTGTGACGTCATTTTGTTGACACGTACTCTAGATTCAGTAGTAATGCACAAAATATAAATTGTAATTCGTATAA